AATGATTTAGTAATTTGTTTCCATACTCCAACTAGAGAATTCCGACCAAAATCTGTTCTTCTGCGCATCTCCATGAGATACCCTGTCATAGTAGGGCACACGGACACGGGGGATGCGCAGAATCGGCGAGCTCTCTCTAGACAGAGTACAGGTTCTAGAATTTCTAAGTTAAAATTTGAATTTCAAATACTTATATTTAAAACAACCGTATGTATTTTATTTTTGATAGTTATTATAACAACTTGTGAGATACTTTAAATTAAATACACAAGCTTTTCGACTGAGCAAAAACAATTTTTATCGATATGTATACTGTAGAGTTACGAAACTAAAAAAACATCTGTAGCAGTAAAATAACTCAAAAAAAAAGACGAAACATTTTTTATTAATTTTAATTTGAAATTATACCATGCATATATTATATAAAATGCTAATATAAACACATTTTATGAAAATGTCAAGTATAGGTATTTAAGGTTACCTATTTGTTTATGAATTACATCAAACAGAAAATCGATTATATCAAAAATATGGTTTTTCATACAAAATCACTTTCTTCTTTTTCTTGATTCTTTACAAAAGTATTGAAAATATCTTAAATTTGATACTTCAATGTAACAACTACCTAAATTCAGTTTCTACCTGTAAAGTCGCCGAAGTTGACCATTTAATCGTTTAACTGCTCGAAAAGGTGACGAAAAAAAAAAATGAAATCAAAGCATATTTATATTGTTAAATGTGTCTTCAGACAAAAAATAAATAAAAACACATCATCATTGCAATGTCAATATAGTTAGTATAATATTATATCATTCGTCGCTTCTCTCAAAATCTAAATGTAGATCTTATGCTAAGACTGTTGTTACTATAATCATAATGTTGTTTTCGTCTTACATAATATTACGGATTATAACATAATTGTATTACACTGTTGTTGTTGCTGCTGCGTTATTCACTTGCCGTCTGATAGAGAGGGACGCCTCGACTTTCGGCTGTTAGATCATCTGCGTAATGCCTCAACGGTAAGCTTCTGTTTTATGCAGTGGACCGAGAAAACGACAAGACTTAAAACCATTTATCCTACATTATCATTTCGCTCGCCCCGAGCACAATATTTGAAAGGTAATGTCCCGAAACAGAGCCTAAGCGTATGCGACCATTACCACTTATTCGACTGTTGCGGCAGCGAGGCTGTAATGAATACAAAATTATTCGCCGTCGACGACCGTCTGATCGCGTGGAAAGAATTTGGAACAATAATAACTGTACCGTTATTACTGTCTAAATATTCGAGTCGCCCGTTTTTAATAGAATTCATCGAGAATATATAATATTTTATATCTACCTATACCTACTGTTAATAAGATGCGGTGGCTTTTCTCTGTACGACCTCGGCGATTAGTCTGCAGTGGGACACTTAGACTACAAGTGGATATCCGAAGGTTCCCTCATACCCACACATTAGCCAGGTCCGCAGTAACTTCCAGTCGGGAGAAGTTAATTATCGTTAGCTGTATAGTCTTGGAGTTTCTCTCGGTAACGTTGGGATGCAATTATTGCTACTTGGAATTTTCACGTCCAGGACATAATACTATATTATCTTGCGTTTTGTTATTTTAACTATGTTATCGTAGTCTCATAAAAACTATTGCACCTTGTACATTTATAGTGTCAACCAATGTTTACTCATGTTTTCTCCTCGTAATTATTATTATATATCTACCAATTTTCTTCTGAACTTCAATAATGATAAACAAAATAGACCGTTAATTAATACTCAAGTCTACCATATTATGTAAGCAAATTCAAGCTATAATATAACATATTTATTTAGTGAAGACGATCATTAGAACATCAAGACGATAGTTCAGTTCAAAAGATTCACCAAATATCGATCATTCCATCAATACTATAAACAATCTTGGTGAATATGATCCTGTATGACTTCATACTTAAAAGTGCAAGATTGGACGCATAATAATATTATTCTTTATAATATATTGTTTTTGGTATAGTGCAAAATTTCATTTATCTCATTACCCACACAGTGTAGGTCTTCAAAAAACGTATCGATCGCGGCGATTTTAGCATAATATCATTGAGTGTGGCCACTGCGCCGAATGACTGCATGAAAAAATACAGAATTTACGTCACATTTCACGTATTTTCGGTGTATAACATAATATGATGGTACGTACCTAGATCGCGTATATTATTATTTTATTGATCCGACGAAGAAACTGCAACCGATTCCAAACCGACTGGGTACGGTAATATAAAATAGGTACGACTTGGGCGCACACAAATTCGTGTTGTTAATGGCAATTATTCCGTGTTAGTGACTTCACGCACGGAACATTATCGTCGTTGTTGTTAATGTTATTTTATTAAAGTATTTTCCGTTTATTTTTCACCGTTCAACTGCTCGTTCTTGCATTAATTCGGGTCTTATGCCGACACGCGAACGTACAACTTATTATTGTTTACGGTTTTCTGTGACTACGCACGGCATATTACCTCTAGCCGTGCGGCCTGCTGACCTCACCGTAAACTTTTCGTTAAAAACATTTTACTATTTCAGTGCGGTTTCCGTAGAAATCGTCGTGCTTTCGGAGCAAGCCGATCAATACCTACGTGCCCGTGAATATTTCATATGACCAACGTTTATACTATTACATATGTCACACTGTAATATAATATTATGTATACAATATTTTACATTAGTATATGCAGTGCTCAACTTTTTTTGTAGGAGGGGTTGGACGTTTTATGAATTTTTTTCCATTCTCGGATCACGTTTATAGAGCGGCAATTAATATACTTGCATCGTTTTATCGAGCTAAGTTATATTAGCACAAGAGATAATATTACTATTATCTCAACAGTTTTCCGATAAATAATAGCCGAACAATATAATAAAAAAAACGATCTAATATATTATGTATAATAAATTGTTGATCTGCTCAAACGTTTTCCGAGAGCCCACGGCGAGGTTAGGACGAGATGAAATTCGTTTTAGATATTATTTTTAGAGCAGTGCCGCAAGATTGACGCGTCGACGAGCGAATTCGAGTAGCATTTTGTTCAGACAATGTCGGAAATTGTCTGCAATAATTGTCATTGTAATATCATCAACACTCTGATGGGAGTTCGAAATATCAAACTCGATGTAAGTACTTTAAGAGTTTCACCCACCACGAATATTGTATCCGACATACTATAGGTAGCATAGCAAACTATGTTCGCTCAGCATAGTTGATTTTTTCTTGTAATTTTGTAAAATTAAATGCCTATCACAGAGATTTTACTTTTACCGAACTTAAAAGGAATAGGACATGGTCCTTGCTTGTACTGTTTTACTGTAGCCCAATTTTATTGAAGTTATGAGCATTTTTTGAATGCAATATTTTACATTCAAATAACTCACTAAAAAATAATTTAAATACCATTTTAGTTTACATAATATTATACTCAAAATTAACTTATTTAATATTACAATATTATTAAATTTAGTAAAACACTAAAATGACACACAACATCAAAATGTCAACATAATTATATCGTTGTAATATTTTAATCGTTTATATTATTTTTATGCAGGAATAAAGCAGTATGTACAAAGATTACGTTTGGTTTTGTTTTTCAAAGTTTAAATCTTTATAACTGTAAAAAATAACACCACAGTCTTGTCTAGTTTTTTGTCTTACGAGTATTTCTGGATTGTGTTTTACCGATAACACGGCGTACTGAATAGGCAATTCAACTACACCAGATTAGTGAATACGTCGTGATAATATTTTCGGCACATTTTCGGAATTCGAACGTTTCCTTAATAAGGAATTCTATATTATATACAATATTAAGACTAATTATACTAAAATATTTAATAAGGATAAGCTAAATAAATTGATAAATTTTAATTTCAGTATTCAATACACATGAGATCTTGTTAATATAAATTGATTTGAACTATGAAATGTGTTTAATTATTTGGATCCCGCGAACAACTGTGCTCATTTATTCATCTGAAGAAGGGTGGGTTGTATTCTATTCTCTATGTACTTTGCACAGTATTCTGAGAGTCAAAATATGTTGATGAGCGTAAGACCAAATTTGTTCGAAGTATTAATATTATTAGTGTGGTCTAACGGATATAATACGAAAAATCTATACTTGTCTTATCACGCAATTATATCGATCAGTTGAAATGAAAATAGGTATTTTTGTCAGGAAAAACAACATTTTTAAACAGTTTCAAATCCTTGTGATAAATGATAATATATTAAGTACTGAAATCATCAGGTAGGGATTTCGGAACAAAATAAATAGAGTTCAATCACTCCTCGATACGTAGTTCCGATTTCGAATTTTCATATCATGGTAATTCATAACAAAATAGTATATAAAACCAACAATATTAATTACTTTATAGTAAAATGAATAAATAAAATATCGTCTTTAACCTAACTGTTTTCGATTACCAATGAAAATATTATTTTAGGTACATCGTTATTAATCGTTGATATCGTTCCGATTTTGAATTTTGGTACCGTAGTTACTTATTACTAAATATATAAAATCAACACAATAATAATTAGGCTTTTAATAATAAAATAATATATTTATGTGGCAATATAATATATATATATATATAATGTGGTGGTAAATAATTATGTTTCAACGGTTGAAAGATAGATACATAAAAACAACAAAAACCACTAGGTACCACTTGTTGCAGCCTTAAATGTATCATAAATTCGTACTATAATAATAATAACAGTTAAAATATAATATATTATTCGTTTGAGCGATTCGTACACCGTAAGTACCACTATTGATGTATACGACGTGGTAGTTGAACCGATGGACAGACGAGCGGTTACCTGTCGTCGTTAACCTAACCGTACTCGATTACCTAACCTACAGTATTAAATAATAATTTTAGGTATATCGTTGCGTCGATCGCTGAAATCGTGAGACTACCACACGACATCCGGTGATCACTTGGTGCCCTTGACTTTCTCGTACTCGTCCTTGAGCACTCGTCTCAAAATCTTTCCGGCCGCGCTCTTCGGCAGCGATTTGACGAACTGTACGCCGGCCGAGATCTGCTTGTACGGTGCCACTCGTTCCGCCACAAACGCCTTCACGTCTGCCTCGCTGGCGGCCGGTCTGTCCGGGTCAAGCACGACGTACGCCAGCGGCGCCTCACCTGTCCTGTCGTCCGGCACACCGATGACAGCTGCGTCCAGCACGGCCGGGTGGGTCCTCAGAATACCTTCCAGCTCGGCCGGTGGAACCTGGAAAATGGAAGACAATAGTTTAAAACCGACGAATCGCCTTGGTACCCTAAAATGGGGTGACTTTGATCATTTTCATTTTTTTATCTGAGCATCGATAATAACAGTACCTATAATATATTGCGCAAGAATTGTATTTTTAATTTTTTGCAAGTTTGTACAAACGGTTTACTATACCAACAATACATTTTTTTCTTCCATCACAATAATATATATACATATATAAATATTATTTGAGATAAACTAATTGATGTTTTTTTACGTATCTATGGACTGTAGTTGATTGAAAAATAAACCTTGAAATCATAAGACAACATTATCAAAGCTACCCCATTTTATGGTATTACAAATATTGATGACATGGCACTTCATATTGGACGCATTTTCATCATAAATTGTTTACACGGTCAAATTGCGTTCGGTAGTTGTTGCTGTTTTTTTTTTTTAAATATTATATAGTACAACAGTTATTGCAACACTGGTAGAGTTAATAATAATAAGTTTAAGTTAAGTTTATTTAAATTTATTAACGTGTATTGCACGGATATGTATTTTTTATTTGTATTTTTTATTTTCATAAATTATTTATTATATAACTAATTACGTCAAAAAACTAATTTTAAATTATTGAATTAGTATGATTAAAATTGTGCGTAGATGCAAAATATAATAATAAATCAGTCTGTTTTTAATTTTTATAATTTAATATTTGGAAGACATTTTTGGTCAACAATTTATTTTAACAATGAATTAGACAAGATTTGAGATTTATCAACGATGATATTTGCAACATATTTCAAATAAATAAAAGATGACCGGTGGACTTTTGAATGTAAAATATCGATACACTGTGATAAAATAATGAGATAGTCTCAGAGCGTGTGTCACATCATTATTTATATCGATCTACAGCTGTTCGGTTAGTTCATTATTTTGAACTACGTTTTTATTATTATTATTGTTTTTTTAGGTATAAGTAATGAAATACCTTTAGCATTTATTTTTCAGTCGATAACGATCGGTCAGTGTTGTATAGGTACATCCGATTATTTTCAACATTATCAACAACATCCAAAAGATGTTATATTTTTCGAATGATTAAATATTGTTAGTTTCGTTATTATAAATACTTTCAGTTAGAATGTTTCACTAACACCTCTAATGTCGTACATCGAGAACAATAAATAATCGCCAGTGGACATTACTGACAAAACATAATTCAACAGCAAAAAGATTTAAAAAAAAAACGATTTTCAATAATGCTAAAAAAACTTTGATTTCCATAGTATCGTCGAGTCAAAATTGTCTTTCCAAACAGAAGCGTAATATTTTAGAAAGCGCATTATTAGCAATTGTATGCGTGTTTGACAGGTATTTGTATCCAACAAAAAGTTTAAGGAGATAAAAGTTACAACAAAAGCAAACGTCAAGAAAAAGTCAAAAGTCGTCTTACACAGTCTGCTGTGATTTTACAGTCGATTGCGCATTCCTTAAATACTGCAAAGCCAAACAACAATTCGCCACTTGTAATTGAATTATATTTGTCAAACGAATAAATCTAACACTGTTCAACGATACCTACTCAACTATTTTAGTACATTAAGTATCGTTGCATAAAAAGTATTTTCACCCCACCAGGGGACGTCTATAAAGACTAAGGTTTGGATACGACCCCTACCCCCAATAAATGGTTTGAAAACGTCACTCAATTAACCTGGTATCCTTGGACTTTTATCAACTCCTTAATGCGATCGACAATGAAGAATTCTTTTCGTTCGTTATAGTAACCAATGTCACCAGTTCTCAGCCATCCGTCAGGACTTAGGGTGTCGGCCGTGGCGTCGGGGTTGTTGTGGTAACCGAGCATCACCTATATTAAACACACAGACTGATAACGACCGTTTGATAAACCGCCGTTAACGATATTACGATAAAATTGTTATCACTCACCTGTGGCCCGTTTACCAGAATTTCTCCGATCTCGCCGGGACCGTATTCAACTGTGACGTCCGTGGGGTCGACGACTTTGGCCATGGTGTTAGATATGGGCGGACCCACGGTCAAATAATCGGCCATCGAGGAATTCCTGGATACGAAAACGGCTGGCGATGATTCTGTCATTCCGTATGCTGAACAAGTACATAAGCATTTTTTTTGGTGAATATTTTTTTGAACATATTGACATTTATATTTCATAAGAATACAGCTACATTTTACGATTAAATTTTGGTTTAGATGATAGGTAGATACTATTGATGCAACGATGATAATAATTGTATTGATACATTTTTAATTTAAAGTATTGCCATACAACTGTAAATTACACTACTTACGAATGTTTTAAAAATTATAGGAAAACAAATCATAAGCTTTTTATCAATAAATAATAAAAAAAACACGATAGTAAGCAATACTAAGCAAAATATAGGTGGTGTATAATTGTCACTTTAAATGTAAGAACCAGTTCAAAAATCAGATGTAGTTTAATTATTCATACCTGGTCAAAATTTGAATCGTCTATTCATGAAAGCTACACGTATTGCTATATTGTTATTTTTGAGAAAATAAAATACATAACTATTTCAATAGAATTTTAAATTTACTCCTACAATATTAATTATTAAAATGTTTTTTTTTTTTTAGAAGGTATGTTTATATTTTTTAAATAATAATTCTTCTTAAAATACAGCAATGACATGATGTCTTACAAGATTAATGATATGTCGTTAAATTTTAAATTTTGATTTCTTTTGTGAAATAAATTGTTTGTTTGATGGCTGTTTCGATCAGACCAAGATTTATTCACTATAATATATAATATTAATAAATATTTGCCCATGCGGAAGTCCTGGAAGTTAGATGGAAGCTTGGGAAGTAAAGCAGAACTTGTAACGGTGAAAAACCAGAAACAAACGGGTATAAGGCATAGTTTGTCGATACCGATCACACTCTTCTTCAACACATCCGACCGTCAACAACCGAACATCAACAGAGAGTCAAGAAGGGATTGACTCGACCTGCAGCGATCAAGCACGACCAGAGAATTACGACGGGCAACGACAGTCGCACCAATTACAAGAATCGCCGTGGACGACAATAACGGCGACAGCGATTCCAAATCGGCCGACCATGCGTCGCCGCAGAACGCACAACCAGCCTCCGTCGAGCCATCTCTACAGACGGCGCATGGTGGGTCGCCTACCTTGCCGACCAACAGCAACCGCGACACGACGAGCCCCTCTCAGTGTTAATTGATTACTGGAAACGACCTCTTATCCGGTCGTCTGACGAACGCCCTCGACGGGCCAACGATCGCGCCAGTCGCTGTGAATTAAGCCCCCATCGGTGAGTCGGGTATATCGGCCCCGAAAATTAGCGGAAATCGATGGCGACTGACGTGAACGCCTAAGCGAACGTACTCCTTTTGTACGGTTCCTACCCATACGGTGACCACGGAAAACCATAAAACCGCTCTTCTTAGAGCTTCCAAATCTTAGCCTTGCCGAGCGCACGTGCCTAGGTCACGCATCCCGGTCGGACGCTAATCTGACTTAACCACGAGCGGGCTTGATCAGCGGCGAACGCGCCCCACCCCTAATTTTGCGAAAAGTAAACATTCTTTAACTGTAAGCAATGATCCCGCCCGCCGAATCGAAGGCATCGAGTCGCCGGGCGTACGATTCTATACGCTCTCCATATTTATGCAATTTATCTTTTAGATAGAAATAAAAAACCAACAGAGGACTAAATTATTACGAGACCGTGACTCACCACCCTAACACTTAGAAGCTTAGGAAGTCTGTAAGTAATCTTAGAAGTTAGTTAATCAAATATTGGTTGTAAATATTTCTTCTTGGCGAACAACAACTTAGCCCGGACATCATATCACTTTAGAACAATGATAAATAGCTATGTATAAAACTATTATTTTTAACATAGGTACTTATTGATGCATGAAATTAAGCTGTTTTTAACTTTTGTATTGTTAATATTTTTAGGTTTTTCGTATACAATAAGCACTAACAATATAATTGAAAGAAAAAAAAAGTTGAACTTACCTTGACAAAAACGTACATTTTTGTTTTGGGTTCTGGCAAGTACTTTTTCGGCATCTGCTTCTTTCACAGGACCAGCGCCATTGCATATATGTTTCAAACTTTGAAAGTGTTCAGGCGTGACATTTTTATTTTGACCCAACAACAGCACTATTGGTGGTACTACGTACAATACAGTCGCCTAAAATACAATATCAAAAAATTATTAAAAAACGTCCTCGTTGCGTACGCAACATAACACACAACACACCTTGTAGTTTTTAAGTATGTTCAAAAATAAGTCCGATTCGAGTTTGGGCATTGTCACCAATTTACATCCACAACCCAGCCCTCTCAGAAAAATCATAGTCAAACCATAGATATGGTAAAAAGGTAAAATAGCAGGCAACACATCTTGATAATTCGCTACAAAAAAAAAAAAAAGGATTACTTCGATAAAATTGCTATTATTTGTATTATTATTATAATCATCATCATCACCATCAAATACATCAACACCACGAAAGAATTTATGTTATTTAATGGTTGAACAGCAAAATGCGTCGAAATACGAATGAGTCATAATTTTTAATTACTCGGAGTAATAAAATTATTATTTTTACTAGTGATACATTATGTATACATAATGATATATCATTTTCAGTGGTTCATTGATAGGATTTACTATAATCTCGTATACCAACACTGTTGACAAAATCGCTTCTGCAGTTGAGCAACTATTTGTTACCAAACAATTCCAATCACGGATGTTTAAAGATTTAATATTTTAGAATTCATTTTGACAGCAATAAATTGGAAGGCAGCTTAATATTTTGGGTATGTGACACTACTAGAGATGCACATAGATTTGCATAAGAACAATCAATCGGTAATGCCAAGTTGTGATTTAGCCATTAAGTACCGTCTAGGTCTCTTTAAATTCTCTAAATTTTTTTCTCATTATCGAAACACATTCGTTCTGAAAAACTACTATGTGAAAACAAACGAGGACCTTCGAAACAATAATATTAATTTTCTAAATCGTGGGAAACGTCGAAAGTATTTTCAGTCTTAATCCCTCTACGTTTGCTAGATTTTCTTCAGCTCATTCCATCCAGTAGGTATTGTTCGAGTCGATGAAATTTCATCATCGTCACTAGTTCTCGACCGAGCTACCAAAATAACCGGAAGACTTTTATTTTTTTTGGACACGGCAAGTCGTTTGATTTCACGATAGTGTTTGTTTTCTTTTCGGCCATAGATCCAAAGGGTTTAAAATTTTGCGTTTCGCAGTGAAGTTCTAGTTATACGAATCAAGTGACCGTGTAAACCCGACTTTCGAAATTCGCACCGTTTAGTACGATAATAACACTATATGGCATAGCGATCGATAATAATAGTCTATTCGTTATCATACCAACACAGCCCGGGTAGGTTCGCCTTCGTCCGTCCGTTTTTCGTGAGCGATTATCAGAATTTAAGAATAATAATATGCTACGAAGAGAAAAACTGGATAGTTTTCGAACAAGGGTAAAAATTAAATTATCAATACATTTTTCTAAGTAGTGAATTCCTTCAAGTTTCAATAGTCACTGTACTCTCACATGCATGTGTATAGTAAAAGTCAATAGAAATAATACAAAAGCTATAAAATAATAATTACCTACATTTGTGTGAATAATATGTTCCACGAATGCATGCTGATTGCTGAAATAATCGACCAGTGTCAATATCATAATAATAACATATAAAACAATATAACAATAGCGATGTTTTCAGGTCAACAGTTTAAATATTTTTATGGTCAACAAATATCTCAATACGAATCGAGTTTTTGTTTTTAAAAATAAAAGTTAGTAGAAAATATGTTTGTATATTAAAATTTTTATAATAAATTCATGGTAAATAAAAGGAAGTGAAAAAACTAATGTTTTCACTAATATAAAAATAAACCACTGGGTTTATTTTTATAAAGCGCCATTCCTAGAAACTGTTAAAAAGTGCGTCAATATAATTTCGGATTTGCTGTTTTGATGAGACAGTAATGACATACATCGTTAATACATTATTATCATATATGAGAATTTTAATTATTATAGGACACATTTTTGACGTCACTATAATAATTGCGTACCAACATTTTCTGATAAATTTCATCTCGAATCGTAAATTGAGAACCATTTTTAAATTAATTTGATACCAAAATCAAAATTATATGTACACTGCACAATAACTGACATACCATCGACAACAGATATAATAACTTATTTATAAGGATATTCTATATTTTGCTGAATTTGTGGGTTTGAATAATTGAATGATAATATATATAATATATTTATTATAATTATAATTTTAACAATGTCGAATATTTTTAATTATTTTATAATCGGTGACCGAAAATCCGAGTGAATTTGTGTTCGACATAATATTATATTTTTGATCGATGTGGTCATGAAAGGTTTTCATTCCGAGATTTCCATAAAAAAAAAAATTTAAATAATATAATAACTGCACGAACCAACACGGATATATATTATTATTATTTTTCTTTTCATATTATAGAAAGCCGGTCGTCGAGTAGAGCTCTCGAGGAAAAATGTCAAGAATCGCAAAAAACGTTAAAATAAAAAAATATTGTAATCAACATCGTACACATAAAATCACACAAACAATTACAATGCCGTATGAATATAATACGATAAAGACTTGTTAAAAGAGTTACCGACCAGTGATTGATAGTGCAATACGCATAAACTAGTCAGATATTTTATTTCCGATTAAGTAGTTTTGATTGTGTATATTTTATTAGAAATGTCGATCGTGATCTTTAATGTACCATACTAACGGTTCGATTTACAATTCTAAAAATGTAAACATTCTGAAAATCGATAAAACGATAATATTTAATTAGGAATTGCTGTGATTAAATATACAATGACATAAAAAAAACTTTATCGATTATAATATTATTATTACTAAAATTATAAATCGTAGGTGGACTGTACACAAATCGATACGATTGAATATATTTATTGAAATACGGTTTGAGATGAATCGGAAACAAAGCATAGAAGTTAGAAGAATTAAATTGTTTTAATAATGTTGCAATTACAGTTATAATCATTAAAATCAAAATAAATTTTAAATAATAAAAATAAAAATATAGGTAGTAAAAATAATAAGTATATTCCACCCAACGAAAAACTTATCATTTTAATAGTACGTTATTGTGGAATAAAAAATGCCATTAGATTTGAATATTGATATTTCAGACTTCAGATCACAGATATTCAACATAGTTGAAGACTTTTTAAGTTTTCAGTAATAATTTTAATATATAGGTAGGTGTACCTACATTTATTTACCATTAAATTTATTGTACAGTGTACGTTATTCTGTACCTTCAATATTTCAGTTAACTAAAAAAATATGTTTAAATTAACAAAATATTGTTTGTTTAACATGATATTGTGTAAACGTGACATAATCTCTATTATTTATACTAATTGTATTATTACAAATCCTATTATTTGAATTATTGTAATATTATATTTTTGGGCTATAAAGCATTTTGTTATGAGTCAAAATATATTTAAAGGTCGAACGAATGTTACACAAAATATAATAAAGCAATAATAGTTCATACAACATAAATACTTAATAGTTTAAAAAAAAAAATAAGAAAATATAATTAACACGTTTCAAAAATATTTCTTTAAATGTATAATTACAAAGAAAATTGTAAAAAAATATATAAATAGAATACACGACGCGGAGCTGCGACAAATCTGTGTAATATAAAATAAATTTATTTGCTCCATTTTACACAAAATAATTTTTATTTCTTGATAATGACTTATTAATTTTCACCTGTATATTGAAAACTATCACCAATTAAGTTATAATAAAAAATAAAACCAAAATAATTTTTATTTTGTCAATAAATACTATGTGGTTGTTGTTGTTTTCTACAAGATTGTATAGTAATAATCAAACAAACTGACAAAATTTACTTCTTTCTACTCTTATTGAAGTGACGTTCTGACCCAGGACTCTGGGGTGTACCAAATAAGGTATATTTTTGAAAAATACATTTTCTTTTATAAACGACTAGCAATTATAGTGATCATTACACAACGAGTAAATATCATAAACTTAAGTATCCCTACATAAGACATTACCAAATAAGGTGTATACTGTATAATGGTATTACATCATCCCACTAAAACTGAGATAAAGGATCAAACGAGAATAAAAACAAAACAAACATTTTGGGTTTGCTATAGAATGGTTTTAATGGTTAACTATCATTTTCCCAAAATATATTCATTAGAACTCTAGAAAACTAAAATTACAAATAAAATAAAAAAACATTTGAACTTTATTTTATTTCAATGGCAATGACAAGTTTTGTATCATCGAAATTACGGAAACTCAATATGACTTAGGCGCTGATATATACGTTATGTGATAAAATACAAGCATCAAATAAACTAAAATTCGTCAGTTAGATTCTTCGATTGTTAGTCCGTATTATGGAACTCTTGACAAAAATACATTATTTAACAGTTATTAGATGGTAAATCAGGAGAGTTGATGATGATATGGTTCAGTGTTTCTCAACCAGGGTAACTACATATAGTTCACGGTCTGGGTTCTAGATTGTATAGGTAGGTAGCTGAAGAGCCCAACCGCATGTAAAGTTATAGCCAAAATAAGGATGCCTTTAGATATTCTACGCGTCCATAAAAATTCTGCAATGGGAAATCGAATTTCTTATGCTATTATAGTTGTAATACACTTCAATGTCCTAACCGTTGGTCTCCGAACACATTTAGTATTGTAACGTGGTAACGTAACTATGGTATTCATGCCTTTTTTTCTGGATAGATTGCTGTGTTTATGTAATAAACTTAGTAAGTACCTATAATTTTTATTTCTTGCAGATTCAGAATTTAAATTTAAATCCATACTATTCATCATATTAATATTACTGTAGGTATCGTTCACTGTCTACGGTAGTAACATAAATAATGTGTAATTAAATCGACCGCTATTGTAGCATAAACGATTATTCGTAGTTGAATAAGAGGATTCTACAACGACACACCATGCGTTTTGTTTGTAGTAGAATCCATTCGTATTCGAACAGTCATGACGTTAGCAGGGGAGTGTCCGGGGGGGGGGGGGTATGCCTTTGGCTATTTTAATTATTATTTATCGTTTTATCACTCGAAAAACAAACAAAAAATAGTATACGCTGTGTCACCAGAGATTTTTCTTTGCCCCGTCACCAGTTTATATTTCTGCGGGTGCCAATGCGAACCTACTTGCCCATTACTTCAAACAAAAGACAGGCAGTTATACCTAAATCCACACATTTAAAATATTTCAAAAACCATAATGAAAACAGTTTTCATAATGAAGTATTGAAGTATATACTGAAGTATATTCTTCCCTTTTAATGGGTGGTAAAATATTTTTGAACGTTTTAGCTTGCCTCTTTTAGAGTTTTTTACGTTATGGACATAATAACATTCAAACCCTAAAGCCCTCGACAGGAAAACTCGCCCCTCGCCACCTCGACCCACGGGACGTACCTAGCCAGGTAGCCATGGGTTCCCAAACTAAACCGGTAATTGCACCCACGTGCAGCATGTATTAACGAATTATGAAAACCATTGAACCGAAATGACAGCTAGGTTCGTGACGGTCAGGGGTCACTTTTCGTGGCAAGGACTTTAATTATTATTATTATATTTTAAATGTTTAAGACGTGTTTTGTTATACCTGTGGTCTCCGAAAAGTGATTGACATCCGGATGGTTGGTCTGCGTGATATTGGCCACGATGTTCCGGTGCGACAGCGACACGCCTTTGGACAGACCGGTCGTGCCGCTCGAGTACGGCATGAACGCCACGTCGCTGTTCGATCGGAACTTTTTCAGAACAGAAGTGTCCACCATAGGATCGAGCATCTCATCAAAGTCCCAAGCGCCGTCAGGTCTCGGGCCTTTGCCATTTACGGATATGACGTACAGCGGTGTCACGCCGGGTCCGGCAATCAGCTGCTGTGCTTCGAAAACTTTGGGCAACAACTCGGGAATCGTCACCACCCCAACTGCACCGGAGTCCTTGAACTGGTGGGCGAGTTCGACTGAAAAAAATATATCCCAAAATCGGTTGATATAGCTCTGAACAGCTTGCAGAAATGTCTTATATAGAAGACCGTATTCGATAATATTTAGTACCAATAATAGAACCTAACGTGTTTGAACAAAAAAAAAAACAAATACAATACGGAAAGACGTTACTCAATTACAAATATTTCAACGTGCTGTCATCTGCTATTTCAATGGTTTCACAAATTTTAAATAAGTAAGTAAATAACAGAGGTCGTACATGTCATTGTATGACATAACTGTACGGTACACAAATAAGCAACTCCATAAGAAATTCGTAGATTACCTAGGTCAAATTGTTTACAACTAGTTAATATATATTGGACATTTGGACTTAAAAAAAGTATTGTTAATTGGGCCACGTTAAAAAATGTGTGAACATTAAGAAAGTTATTCCATTTTGGATATTAAATGAACTAATTTAAGTATATGTTAAACATGTTTCGGTTTTGATTGTACAATTTTTTATTTTATTTTTAGTGTTTACATTTTTACTTTGTATTTTCATCTATGAGTTTATTTGCTTAAATATTTTCATTTTGCATTTAAATTTTCTTTTAAAAAACTTTTGCCTCACCTCAAGCAAATGCTTATTGGGGTCAAAGTTAATCAAAAAATATGTTTTTTTTTAAATTTAACTGTATAATATTGTAAATTTGATAAAAATGTCACGTGCCACGAAATTTATGATTTGCTAAATACGCAAACACTGTAGAATTGTTTACTCAAATTGTGGACAACATTTCGAGATCTGACATCGTAGTAACCAAATTTTACTAAATTATGGAAAATAATAAAAATTAAGCAGTATATAATTAATGTTATGTAGAATGTAGATTGTACGAGACGTTTCTCAAAATTTTAAATTGAATTTATAGTTTAAACATAGTTTTTATAGTGAGACCTGCGACATTTTAGAATATTCTATTGCTGTTCACAAAAAAACATTTTACAAAAACGTTCCGTACGGTCTGTAAAATGTAAAATACTTAGTACGCGTATTCTGCTATATAAGCATCTCTTTTATCGATTGAAATATAACCCCGTAATCGAGTTTAATATTGGCAAGCCTTTGAGACTTTAAGGTTACATTTTTATTAGCAACTAGGTTCCAGAAATAAAGGCTCTTAATTTTACTTAAAAATCAGGAATAGTTATCTGATCACTTTGTTTTGCATGCTAATATTACTATCGCCTAACATATTATATTACCACGAAACCGTTTAACCCAACTCGAGTGGGCAAATATCTGCATATTACTCTACGTCGAAATTTCATGTGTTTTGTATGCCGTTTATGTTTATCGTTCAATGAATTCCGGTCGGCTGCCGATGACGTTTTACCACCACCGGTTGACTAGCATGTGGTGCTCTGCGTAATTGTTTTTTGATTACCTACCTGAGAGCGATTCTCCTGCCCCCTACATTATTTTTTTCCGACCGTCATTGTATAATAATTATTTTGGTATCGATTTTCTCGTTTCGATATTTTGGGGATTTAAATATACTCACACAACTTTTATTTTTTTATGTCTAGAAGAGTGATTGGCAAAATGCTGAAATAAATAACAAAACTGTTGGATGATGAAAACTAACGCCCAAAAAAGTGTAAGAAAAACATGAACAATTTCAGACGAAAGGAGTATCATCCTCTTGGGAAATACATATTTATACTCTACGCACTCGGATATTAGTTTTTTTCTTCGAGAGATATCGATAGTCGATCCTAATACTATGGTTTGACTGTGATCTGTGAGATTGCCCCTAAAATAATAATTTATCGAATAAACATTTTCTGAAAAATCTACGAAAACTATATGGATTCCTAAGGTCTACAATGTTAATCGTTCATCAATTAAATTGAATTTGAATTCAATCAAATCATCCCAAGTAAAATTTAGGGTCAAAAAATGTAATGAGCTACGTGAAATAAGACCACCGCAAGTATAATAGTTAGGGTCTGAAAAACTCTAAATTACAATAGAATATATTTTAAGTATAGTGTCGTAAAAAATATATAAAATTACGAAGTCAGTGATAGATTTGTAAGCCTTATGTAATCGACGAAAAATAGTTTAAATATGTTGTGTTATTATTTTTGTGTTTTACAAGACTTCCATATTATTTACTACATAGAATAGCAGAATTCCAAATGCGGTTGACTGCTTAGTACTGAATAGCATTCATCAAATATACTCCTAATTCAATATTTTTACAAAAATCTACCCAAAACAATTCAATTGTATGTCAGACCTACCACTTTCCCGAAACCACTTGGTATTGTTCTAGTCTTCATACATAATCAAACGTTTAATTCCACGGCAACCGACCTACATTTATTAAGATGCCTTTTCGCTTGTTTTCTACACAGCGTTTTTACCCACTATTATTGAGTCTTCTTTTTCAGTATCTCATGAGACTTTCTTTTACTACAAGTTTCAATAATAAAATTACGAGATAACACGGCGCCTTGAATAGGCAATTTCCCTACGCTTTCCTAGACTGTCGTTTTTTTTTTCGATACTCACATAGGAATATTTTATAAGCGATTGCAACACGTTTCTTATTTATAACAAAAAAAAAAAAAAATAGAAAAATAAATAGACGCAAGGTCGAGAAAATAAAAACGTCTTATGAATCTGTATTTTAACAGCGTCACAGACAACGACTTTAGTCATGCTACATCTATGCAATTATTTGCATGTTGATGTATTGACCAAGAAAACCATTACAGTTTAAACTTTTTTAATATTATGTTATGCGATAGTTTGAACTGGAAAATAGATACGTTGTAATTATACATTTTTAATATCTAACCATTTTCTTGTGAAAATTACATGTCAATAATATAGGGATGAAGGATCTTTCCTCTAAAAAAAAAAAACAGTTCATAACCAAAATCATTTGACATTTCAGGATCGCACAACCAAGATACAATATTTATAGTGCTGCAGAAATACTAACCTTGTAAGACCCTTTAAACAATATGTGTATTTTAAGTAAATAAGTTGAAATTGGCATTATCGAACCCGTAAAAAATGAATGAACTTGTGTGTCATACTAGAGTGATTATTTTATCAGACAACGGTAATTATATTACAATTTATCAATAGAAGTTCGAGTTTTTAAATTGTATTACAAACATTTTCTTGTGATGACTCATAAGTTGAAATACTTATCATCTAAAGCGATCGGTAGTTATATATAAAAAAAAAAAAAATCAAATCTAAAATCAAAGTAGGTACCTATACTCTGTAAACAGTATTGAACGGCAAATAAATTTAGTTGTTTCATTCTACCTAAGGTTTTAGGTTAATAGTCGAATTAGGTTAGGTGCTGTTAAGAGAAACACAATGTACACATATAATAAAATTGATTCTAAGTAACAATATCCTGTACTAAAATATCTAAGTCGAAAAAACCAATAGCATAGAATACAAATCCAATTGATAGTGTATATAGGAAATAAATCCCGTATTAAAAAAAAAATTATAATAATTAAAATATTTGAGTATGATTGTTTAATGTTTAAATGTTTATAGTATATATATATATATATATAACAAATAAAAAATATATTTCGTATTTCCCTATATATTAATGATTTATTATTGGCACTTTGCAATCATTTATAAATGAAATATTTTTTTTTATGATTTAAACTTGAATAGTAATTTAATTAATTTTTCATAATTTATAAAAAAAAACTAGTGGTCCGTGGCAAAGATTTGTTAATAAATATATTATAGAAATATAATTAATATATTTTTGTTAAAAAAATGTATAAGCCATATTTCCTCCAATTTTAATATTAAAATATGGTAACTAAGGAAACCATTTAGATAAATAAAATGAAAACTTTTTTTCAAATCATATGTGACCTACTCTTTAGCAACCTACATAAATTGAAAAATATCTTATTTCTCTTATTAATATTATAATCTATAACCAACCATTTACAAACAAAAAACAAATATCGATATCCATGGTAAATAATTAAATAACTTAAAAATCCTTGTTTGAGCACCTCTCAGGGTTAGACCTGCAGGGTCCAATTATGAATCTAAACCATCAGAAGAACCCACTCAAAAACACACACAAAATGTCATCAAATTAAGTCCATTAGAAGGGGGTTTACCTTAGGCATAGACGTACAAAATTATTATAATATATATACCTACCTGTACAAAAATGATATCACTATTTTATATTTTTTAAACGAGCAGTTTACAATTTGAATTTCTTGTCCTATTTGTTTGGTTTTTTAACCAAGAGATTTTTAGCAGTGGGATAGTAGTACAGGATATATTTTTCCCCATATCAATAATATTAATTTTTTTATATTATTTATTATTAATTTTTTTTAGATATATATTATGTTATATGGTCGAGAAACCGTTGCTTACATGAGGTGTAGACGGGATTGATCGTGGTCACGACCAGACCGGCTTCAATGGCACCCAGCGCGGCCAAGGCGAACTCTGGAACGTTTGGCAACAGCAGGGCCAACACTTGGCCGGTTGTTGCACCTCTCTTCTTCAGGCTGGCCGCAAACCTCTTGCACGCCAACCTCGTCTCATGATATGTTAATTTCTTGTTGGTCACTCCACACACCTATATTTCAGGCAAAAACGACAAATGTCAAACAAAACTTATGAAAAAAATGGGTTAAATCGATGACAAAAAAAAACTTAACTTCTGCACTTAATAACACAGAATAAATAAATCGTAATGAACACTGATAAGGAAATACACGAATGGAGAAATCTGATAAATGAATTCAATCAATTTTTTGGAGAAATGTGAGCATTATACAATATATATATTAAATAAGTGTAAAATATTCAGTCATCGGCACCTAACCTGCTCCACCATTAGAAAATTTAATTGTGATACTCAAATAAGTAATGATAAGATAACAAAGAGATTGATAACAAAACAGTTATAGTGTAACCATATAATTTTTAAAAAAAAAATGTCCCTACATACTATATGCGAAAACAAAATTACTGGGTGCCAATAACTACACCTCTGCTGAAAACTCCACGCTTTGCCTTATAACACGATTATCTTTCTCCAAAAAAAGGGCCGTCAGTAATATTATTACTTTCATATTTAAGTGTCCAGAGTCTGGTAATAATATGTTTAGGATTTTCTGAAAAGTATAAATGTTTTTCCTCCAATAATCATCTATTATATGATAATATTAAACGTGAAAACTTCCATAATATGAGCAAAATAAATATGTTAATTATAAATAAATTGAATTTTACCGGTTATTTGTTTATGGACAAACCCTGCAGTCAAATGCGGAGGAAAAAACAGCAGTAGGAAACACACAATTTTAATTAAAAAAGTATGTACCAAAATAACAAGGCTTTCCAAATAATTGCTTCACCAATTGCAAAAAACATTTAAATTATACCTATACCCTTTTAATGAAACATATTATGTATGGCAATAAATCCAAATGTCACTATAGGTCCTCTTAATAAAAAAAGTTGTAAAACACTCAACAGAACGTCCACCTTATAAAAATAATTATTGACAACTAATTTAATATATAAATAATCGCTGTCCATGACCGACCTTATTGGATGAAATATATTATATTATATTTTGAAAATTTAAAAATAAAAAATGAGTTATCAGGTTGGAATGATTAAAGATTTTTAAATTTCTACGGAAATATTAGACATGATATTTCAAAGGTCAGTGTTTTTTTTTACCGTCACCATAAAATACACATACGTACTCTTAAATACTACAACAGTACTCAATGACCGGATGCGGTGAAATAACTCATAAACAATTAAACTAGAACCATATATAATTGTACTCAATTCTTTTTTATTAAAATTAGTTGGTCAAACATTTGTTTAATAATTTAATTTTTATTTAAATTAGTTCAAATTAAATAAAAAATCGTTTGAATCAACCACGCGTGTTCAGCGAACACATATTTTAGCATATTATTATATATTTTTAACTGTGCTCTGATATATTATTCAGTTATTGTTGAAAAAAAATGTACTTACAACTCGTTAAACATATTATATCGAATTAAAAACTAATGGTGAAATATATTTTCAATTTTAAATTTAGCTTGAAAAACAATTTAGTTACCGGTTATTCGTTCATACAAAATAATATGTTGGAATGTTCATAAACATTGAGCTTCACGTTATATGCTAGTGTGATTCTTAATAAATTGGCATATGCATTTTCAACGACTCATTTCAAAAGCATAATTTTTAATTTTTACATGGTTATTTTTTTTTTTTACTTTTCAGCATTGCCAATGCTTATGGAGTTGACTTTAGTCGGCTTATAGTATATTATGGCTATTATGCATAGTAATAATTACATTAATATCGTACATAAAATAATTAAAAAATAAAACATTTTCAACGAGGTCGAAAAAAATGCACACGCAATATTTAAGAGGTTGTTGTATTAAAAAAAAAAAAAATACAACAAATTTATAATATTCACATTAATATATAATATTTTAATGATATACCCATTGTACTTGCCTACATTTCACATCGGTGTTTTATTTAAGCGAAATGAGGACATTTCGCTCGTTTGATAAAAAGTGGTTTGTAATTATTATGTACTTGCGTGTGTATCGTGCATATCACTGCACTGACATGTATAATATACGAGCAACTTCACCGATCCATTTGAGTTAAGTTTTTGTATAGGTGTCCGTAGACTCACGATTAATATTCATAAAATATAACACCCATACAATATTATTATGACGATTCAAGGTCATATTTGTGGGGGGGGGGAGAAGAGTTAAACAGACTGCTAGACTATGTACAACAAAAATATTTAATTTAAAATACATTTATACATTTATCAGTTATCACACTCTTAAAGCATAAAAAACTTTATTTAGATTGTATTATGAAAATACATGATTTGGTTTCTAATCGAAAATTTGGTCCAGCAATGGTCTTGCGAATAATAAACGATTTTCAACTGATAACAATTGCAGTGGAAACATGCTTTTACGATATACTTTAATCGTTTAACGAGCTTGATATTATTGAATAGACAATAATATGACAACGAGTTACGAAACAGCTATACGATACAGTAAGTATAGGTATAAGTAATTCAATTAATTATTTCCCAAAATGTGTGTCTTACACACACGTTTGAATAATATTAATTGTTTGAAACAAAATAAAGTCAATACTTAAATAATTACTCAGTTTTCTAATATGGTACTGTAACTGCATGTTTTGAATATTATATATTTATTTACGTTTGTCATAATATGTTTGCACTGTTCACACGCTTCACCTGATTTTCACAATACATCACTCTCTCTCTCTCTCTCTCTACATAGTGTATATTTCAAATTATCCTCCAAAACTAAGTATGAACATAAGAAGTATGATTATTTATAACATAAAAATTCGTAAAGGCTAACCTGCCCAAAATAGGAATTTACTAAAAAAAAATTACACTATCGAAATGTATATGTTAAAAGGGTACATATACCGCCCGCATTCATGATCACTACTCGCGAATATAATGGGACAGTAAATTTAGACCAATTTGAAAAAAATGATAAACTGCAAATTTCGTAATAAGTTAGTTACAAACTCAGTACATACGCAAGTCTGTATAATAATATGATGGTTGTGTTGTGTTTAGGAAATAAATAAAACAAAAAAAGATACTTATCCAAAAATCACGATCGTCGTATCTTTAGCAGTAACATTAAAATATAAAATATTTCATATTTCAATAACGAAGAAATAATTAGGTTCGTCAAAAAAATAATTGTAGAGATTAATGTTTTGTGTACATACAAATAGATAATATGTAACGATGCACGTACCACGAGTATCAAAGACCCAAAAAAGTAAGTGTAGCCCAAAAAGAAAAAAAATGACATTTGATCAGATATATTATTATAATACGTCCAGATACACGTCATTTTCTGATCTTTTATACTCTACATATGACCATATACTCGTATCTGCTAAATTAAAAACCCACAACAGCTCGATTCTGCAAGTTGATACAGTGGTAACGAGTTTATAAGATATGTAGTCATCACTATTGACCTCATTTTGTTAAATATATCGAATATAGTCATATTATCATAGGTTTATGAGTATGAAAATTTCACTTTGAAATATTTCGAACTTGAAACTTTCACCTTTCTTAAAATATTTCAAGGAAATATTGAAAAATATATTTTTTTAAATTTTGTGTTTTTTTATACGTATTTCATAAAATAGTTACTAGATGGTTAGAATGATTTAATATCTGATTAGTGATTATGACTATTTAATGCCCTATCAAGATGATGTAGAGAAGATATATGGATTAATTGGGTATTACGTAATTTATGTCGAAAGAAATATTTCTATAATATTTAACTATGAGTAGAGGTATTTACTGTAGTTTCCACTACCTAGTCTTCTTAAATTGCAATTTTATTTTTTAGTTTTCATCAAAATGAAATATCTTATGAAACTTTCATGAAATATTTCAAAAAATTAAATTCGTGAAACTTTAGAACCTTAATAATTAGGCATACACGATATTATTGATTCTTAGCAGGGGGTAAACCACTAGTCAATTTTTTGTACACCAGACTTCCAACCATGTGTACTTCCATGTATTTCCGTATACTTCCAAGTACTTCCAAGTACTTCCATGTACTTCCATGTACTTCCATGTATTTCCGTATACTTCCAAGTACTTCCATGTATTTCCGTATACTTCCAAGTACTTCCATATAATTCCAAGTATTTCCATACATTACTTTCTAATACTTCTATGTATACTTTTAAATATTTTAATTTACCTATAATTACTTTTCTAAATACTTTCAACATGTTATACATAACATGTTAAAATATTTTGGTACAATTTAATTTATTAGAAGCTTAAGTAACTGTTTGAAGTATCTATAATTTCACATCAGATAATCCAAAAAACTCTTTAGATTTCATATATTATGTAATTAAAAAAGTATTATACTTGATAGGGCAAAAAGCCAAAGAATATTAGTATACAAGTACTACTATACTAAAAATACATTAAACCAATGTTCAAGTATAGTTAAGCAAAATGTATTTTTATCAGGTTTGAACAAATAAGTTTATTAGTGTTAAATGCAAGTTTTAAGTAAGTACAGATTTAACACTTATATATTAAAATGAATAAAATGTAGTTCTTTAAATATTAACAAGTACATACTTGTGCTATAACTATAACAAAAAAAAAATGTGGGTACCTACCTATAAAATAAATTTGAAATTAATTAAATCAGATTCATTATGTACTCGACTACTCTGTCATTCATAGTATACCTACACAATTCACTATTAAAATTTACAACACTAACTATTAAAATTAGAATACCAAGTATACTCTAGTAATTTCAAGTCCCCACAAATAATATTTTTAAAATTGTAACAATAAAACTAAAATTGTTTTTCTTGGTAATTTAATATGTAATTTCATCCAAATTTGAACTTAAATTAACTATAAAAACAACTGTTTGTTTGGTCTTCGGATTTTTTTTTTTTTGTCTATAAACAGCTTAAAAATTGTTAAAATATTTTGAAAATTGTATAATTGGTGTAAATGTCAAATTTCTAGAATTACTCGTTTTAGAAAAACAACAAAATAAGAAGTTTAGTACAAGAGAAATTAATTGAATATCCGCCTGAATATCCAATGTTGTAATTCAAATGCTCATAAAATATATAATTTAACTTTCCGGTACCCTTTTTTTATTTGATAACTTAAAGAAATTCATGAAGAATCTTGTGTTGAAATTTCAAATCATAGATTTAAAATGATAAATTTTTATGAATTTCTAACTCAAAATAAATTGCAAATTTTCGTGATTTTTACTTATTTTGTCAAAATTTGAACTTTCAATGCTTATTAAAAAAAATATGACTATAAAAAAAATGTATTTTTAAAATATTTTTTAACTACTGTTGTAACAATATATTAGGTGCTTTTCTATACAACCGATAAAATTTGATTGTAATTTATAAAAAAAAAACTAAAAAGATTGAAAATTACAAATGTCTTTAAATAACTAAAAAACTTAAATACTAAATAAATTAAACTACATTTATTTAATAAATTTCATCATTTCTTATGAGTAAGTATGGTAATAAAGGGCTGATAATAGTACTCAAGCTATTAAATATAAAATTTAATGTCAGGAACGACAATTTGAAATATTTCGATTTCAAGAGTAAAAACTAAAAATTGATTATTTGCGTAATATTTATCTCAATGTATGTCCCCATCACTAATTATTTTTATAAATATCTGGAAAATGAATACATTTGTTTGAAATAAAACCATACAGTATAGGATAGCCAGTCACCACAAATTATAATAAAGCAATGTGCATATTTATAAACAAAAACAGCCAAAAAGTGCTGAAAACAGATCTCGCAAAATTATTAAACATGTATTTTTTATTAGTTTCAAATCATAGTCTTTATTTCAATTTTTTAACTTATTTTGAATTATTCTAGATAATAATAAGGTAATAATATGTAGTGTTGATTATTGTATCATACTGTTTTAAAATTTATTTTAATTATACTAAATCGAAATTCCATTACTATATAACTTACCTATCTAAATTCTGAAATCTACCTATTACATATTTATAATATAATTATATATTCTACTGACATATTATAGTTATTATATTTTATTTAAAACCTAACATTGAGTAAATAAATCTTTACAACTTACCAATTGACATAAAATAATTTGAAAAACTGTAGAAAAATTAACTTATGTGGTGTATACCTCGGTGTAGACATCAGTGTATATACAACGGACACGACTTCAGTCGGACTAGAGACGACTAAGCAAATAATTCTAAGCCAAACCCAACCATATTTATTTATAGCCAAGTTTAACCATATTTATTTAATTAAATAATAATTGTTTAATATCAGTACTTCCGAGTACTTCCACGTACCTCCAAGTACTTCCGAGTACTTCCACGTACTTCCGAGTACTTCCGAGTACTTCCACGTACTTCCGAGTACTTCCACGTACTTCCGAGTACTTCCACGGACTTCCGTGTACTTCCTAATACTTCCAAAGTATTTCCTAATATGTGTACACCTACTTCCACTAGTGGTTTACCCAATTCTTAGCCGTCGGTGACATCAATCGCGATCGTTACACGGCGATCGATCCATCACTCACCAGTGCGTCTTTGTCCGGCCACCTCTCCAGGTCGCTCCACACAAATTCGTCGATCAAACATTCGGGGATCTGAACGTCCGAAAACGGCGAACGGACCACCTTAGACTCGGTGCGATGTCGGACCGGTTGACTCGGAGCGATGTAGGTCAACGGGACGCACGTCCGCCGCAAGTGACAGCGGCTTAAAAGTCGGACCCACTGCAGCCTTACCGGCATCATGACGCGATGAATACGAAACGAGTCGAAAAGACTTCACCTGAAACAACAACAATAATATAAGTAAATTGACTTCGATTTGAGATGATTAAAAATATACTATTGGGAAGCTGCAGTGGCTACAATAGTTAATACCATAACGGCAGGTTAGGTTAGCAGCGTTAAGTAAAAAAGTAATTCGCAAGGCATCAAACGTTATTTTTTTTAAATTTAAAATAGTAAGCATTGAGTGTTTGGATTGATAACGACAAAAGTAAGTAACTAATCTGCTGTACAGTTAATGTAACTATAGCTGGTGTCGAGTGTTAAAATGTGTTTGAATTCTATGATATAATTATATAGTTGAATTATATACGAAAAACGATGCTGATCGGAGACACTGTGTCGGTCTAAATTACTACAAGTAGACACATGTCGTACAATTAAAAATTTTACATTGCCATATTACACTAAAATCATCTAATTAACTATTATTCAGTAATAACGATTGAATTATCTAAAATAACTAAAACTATTATTATTATTTTTTTTAATATCCAATTTCATCGAAATGTTGAGTGTAAATGTCAATAGAAAAAGTTTATTTTTTAGATTTTCAGATTTCAGTAAGAAACACTTAATATGAGGAACCTTTTACAGTGGTTTCAAGCCTTATTTGCGATACAAATTGAATATTTTATAATTTCAATAGTATAATTTGCAAATGTTCTTGGTTTTGATAAATGTTGTCAATATGCGAACCTTAAACGCTTATAAAAATTCCTAGACATACGTAAAATATTATATTAAAAAAGTGTTTATAATTTAAAAAAGAACTTTAAACGACTGTAAATTATTGTAAGTCAAGAAAACATGCATTTAAATAATTTTAGAAAAAAGTATATATTAAAATAACAAAATCGATTTTGATGAAAACAGGTTTTAGGTAGGTAGGTACATACAAATTCTCATTTTTCCTCAATTTTTTTTTTTGTAATTTCCGATTATTTTGAAAAGTACTAAGTATTTTTCATTGTGGACCCCTCAAGGAACAAATTAGATCCAATTCGCTACCAAAGACCACCGTCAAAGTCGAAAAACAATTTTTTATAAAAACACACACATCCTTGTAAAATCAATACATTCATCGCACCGCTCAGAACCTAGAAACATTGAAATATACAAAATTCGTACTTTTTTCCAGATGTGTATTCGTGAAGTTTACCCGGGAACACGTAAAACATTAACCATTTGATCGTTCACCGATTTAAAGATATACTGATAATATCTTATGACCTAAGCTCTCAAAATTAAATTAAATTAATGTACAATAGTGTATACCTACGCTAAGGTTACGATTCCGGCGATTAAATTAAATTGAAATGTAGTTATGGAGTTAGAAACAAAAATAATAATAACTATAAAACTGCTGCGGTGATAGGAACCCAGCTAATGGACTTTCTAGTGTATACTTTTTCGAGCTTTATCTCGGTCATCTCACGGAGTTGTTGAATTTTTAAGTTTTTAAATAATTAAGACCCTCGCTCGAACAAATGCTTTCAGATTAATTATGAAAAAGATATAATTGCCTTTCGGACTGCGATGTCGTTTCACTTTCTTTACAGTTTACAGATTTTCGGTAATCATCGTTGATGTACATTATATTTTAAAATAAACTACTAATATACACAAACGCCGAAATACGAAATAAACATAGTTGACATTTTTATTAACAATATTATGTAATGACGATGATGTTTTTAAACAACTAAAAACTATAATAATATCAGGTACTATTTACTATAAAACTATAATATTGTTTAAAAATGTGTACGCAACTCCTATGTTATAGGTACCTTATATTATAAAGCATTTAACATTTATGTCCAAAGAGGTTTATATTTTATTGACTAATAATCGACAAAATTCTTACCTATCATTACGTAACTATTTTATGTTACATAATATACCGAAATGAGTTGACATTGACTTATTAGTGGTAGGTATATAATAACGAAGTTCAAGTCAAACCTGTAGGTCTGTATGCAATCAGTTCTTGGACGACGACAGAATCAGATGAAAAAAAATTATAAGTGTTTGAGAGAAAGCTATTGGGGAAGATATTTGGCTCCAAAGAGAAACAATGAAGGAGAATGTGAAATACGAAGCAATAAAAACTTAGAAAATCTAAAAACCGAACCCAACATTGTTTGAACCTTGAACAACGTGCGAATAGGCTGGGCAGGAGTGGCGCAGGACATGCACGGAGTGCAAAAGGACAATTGGACAAATAACTACATGGAGACCAAACGCAAAGCGACCAGAGGACGACAAAGACCGGGCAGACAGAATGGGAGACCTGAAGATATTGGGAGTTGTAAGAATGCAGAAGAAACAGCAAGAGACAGAGAGGATTGGAGACAATATGTGGTTGCGGGAGTGGGGCCTCTTGGGACTTTCAGCCTGTTAAAAGCTAAATAATAAAAAGATAACAAACAATGAATAAAAAATATAAGTCGTATCCATGAGTCATGTATTCGTGTAAGTTTCTACAAAAATAAATTAATAGAATACGTGTGAACAAGTATATGCAGAGTAATTCACCACTCATCTTATCACTGTCTTATTTTCGCCGATACTGCAGTTATGCAGAATTTGGTTTAAAGAATTTCTAAACACACCTAGACCATATTTTCAAATTCTAGGTATTTTTTTTGTATTAGGTACATATAATAATTTTATGTGGAAATACAAACTTTTTTTTTGAAACGAGAACCTATTTATTAACTGTAAATTATGAAGCATAAATTGTTCTTAAAATGTTGACGTATTTGTTGAGTTTTTTACATTTGTAACTAAGAATAATATATAGTCCTTGATAATGGGTTTAGAAGATGTGAGGTCTATTATAGAGATAGGTAGTAATAATATAGTTTTAGTAATTCTATCTAATCTTCTATCAACACTTTTATATTATTTATGTTCATTATTATTTCGTAATTTATTAAAATGGTTTAAGTCGTAGTATAAAAATATAATCTTTAACTAGGTAGTATAAATGTTTGACTATAACTGAAAACCTACTCATTGGAATGTTGAATTAGGTATCTCATCAACATTTTCAAAAAATGTGTCCAAAATAAAATATACATTTAACAAGGGGCGAAGGGGTGGGGGTAGTGAGTTCATGTTTTAAAAATAAAAGTTGATACTCCTTAAGTACCTAGGGAATAAAAACAATTTCAAGAATTTGAAATGATTTTTTATTATGTTTGAAAATTAAAAAAATCAACGTTTGAATACATCTATTACCGAATGGAAAAATTGGGCGTGCATGTTTGGTGAATCACTCTGTATAAAATTGCACGAATCAATTATATATTATATACCATTTCTTAAGTACTTTGCAGTTAACCTGGATGAAACAATTGGGTATACGATTGTTATAAATTAATCTACTACGTAGGTACAAACTGTAGGCGCATTTAAATAATAATTAGGACCCTAATAATATTATATTGACTAAAGCAGTATGTAAATCCACCACACAATATTATTGAAACTTAATTTCGTGTTTTATTCATAATATTTAAGGCACAAAAGATGACAAAATGTAATTATGATATTTACTATTTAGACATATTTTTATTGTCTTATACAATACCTGCTATTTTATGTACATAATAATTGATAACAGTTGAAGCAGAAAATTTAGGCACTTCAGTAATAAAAATATTTAATGTAGGTCAAGATAAAAACACTAACGTCTGATTGAAAAATCGCTTAAATTAGTTTCAAATAATAGTCACATGTATATTATAATGTATTAAACTCGTATACGCAACGATCAATAATCAAAATATATTTTTGCATCAATCGAAGTTATAATTGGAAATCACAATAATAGATTATAAGTTTACGTCTGATTGCACTGTTAACAACGCTACGTAATGTAAACACTTGAATTAATATTAAGAATTATGTTTTTTTCATCATTATTATTATTATTATTATTATTATTAAAAACAAATGAATGGGAAAATTTACAATCTGCAAAACTAAAAACCAAGATAGTATTATGCGATTAAATAAAAATTGTGCAAAAAATTTTCATACGATGCAGCTTCTAAAATATTTATCCAAAATTGGCTTACCCGAATGTGTTATGCACTTCTCTATAAATGATTATATGAGGCCACAAATTATCTTAGTTCTATAAGTAGTAAACCATAATTGTTTAGATTTGTTTGCACTAATAATATAATATGAGTATGATTCAATGCACATTAGTTATATAAACAAATCTAATTTTCGAAATATTCCAAACAAAAAGTTTAATTATTTAATAAGAACCGGAGCTCTGTATATCAATCAATAACATTCATTCCCTTGACGATTTTGTCAACACCGACGTCGAAGTGTCGAACACAGACTGAAACGTTTCGGCCCATACAAATCATTTTTGTATACCATGATATTATGACGTCATTAACCGACACGCCATTGTCATATTATTGGTTGATTATCACTTATTAGTGATAACTTATATCACATATTGCTGGATGGCAAAATATTGAAATTACCTGTTTATTTGTTACAATATAATGTTTATCATTTGTTTAGCCGTTTTTAAAAAAACGGTTTTTATAACTTGCAATGTTTTACCGTGTTTAGTATTCAAAATATTTGTGTTTCTGTAATAACTAAGACCGCAGGTCTTATCTATAATATTGATGCATTTTGTTACATATTTCTATGGCTTTTATTTTATAAGATAACTATCCAATTTATTTATATAAACTACAAAGTAAATATTTTGTAGATTTTTTAATTTCATTCATTCAATTGCATAAAATATCTACATTTACCGGATTTAATAAAGTAACACAACTTAACATATCATAAAAACAACTTATCAAAGTTCAGAGTAATAAATGAACAAAGAATATTCAATTTATGTATTTAATACAAACTAATAAACAATAATATAGGTACTAAAATGGAGTAACAGCAGAATATATAAGGTATATTAATTACCCATTATATATATTTTTTTTTTAA